GAGAGAAAGATCTTAGGAAGTTTTAAAGCTTCCCGGCTCAGTCAACGCCTTTTATTATAGTGCCATCTATAGAAGAAGGAGAAGAATCTAGTAATAATGCCCGCCACCCATTGGCAGCTGAGCGGCATGCCACCCACTATGTTGAGCACATTTAAAACATCTCATGGCTCTGGGATGTGGGGCAGGTGAAGCAGGGGAGTGCTGAGCAGCCAGACGGCCAGCTCAAGGCCCCAGGATGAGGCTATCTCCCCAACTCCATGGTGTTGACTTTTGATCACAATGAATAAATGCCCCAAGAAGAAAATATTGGCCACCTACACATAAGTGACTGTTGAAGAACAGCCCATTCCAAACAACTCCCGTGTTCTGCTTTTTTTTTTTTTTTTTTTTTTGCCAGGTAAGAAAAACTCTTTACTAATAACAGCATTTCTTCCATCCTCTGTGCAGCAACCATTTGTAAACAGCACAACTTACCGCAAAGATTTTTAACAAAGTTTTCATGTAGAGCTTTCGTATGCCAAAGGAGACTCCAAAAATGGCAGGGACTCTGATGAAAACAAGGAGGAGGGTGAAGAGGACAGTCAGGGAGATGCCCAGAAGGTTGACAATCAGGCTATCAAAAGGCAGCAACAGGAACATGGTGGAAGATCCAGGCAAGGCCAGCGCTTTCCACCCCAAGAACAAACCACCGTCTTCAGATGGTCCTGTCAGTTAGCACCGGCCTGGGAAAGACAGCGAGTCCCCATAGGATAGCAAACCCCGTTCCACGTTCACATCATTCCACTGCCTGGGGGCGGAAGGACAGTAAAAAGGGCCACAGGGGGCAGCCCAAAAACACCAGCTCTCCCCAGAACCGATGGACTTTGGAGGTCAGTGAGGCGGGACCAATCTTCAGTACAAGCATCTGAATCCAGGCAGAGTTTCTGTGAAAGTGAGTAGTGAGGGAGGGATCTCTGCTCTGCTACCCTTCTGCTCCTTCCAGAAGTTTTACTTTTTCTTTCCTGGTCAAGAGCATTTAGCAAATAAATCTGTCCTGAACATCTGTCATTGCCAGAAGTACCAAGAAGAGTTCAACTTGGTGCCAGAACAATCCTGATAACTTCTGTGGAGGGGGGTGACTGCTGGCCTTCACACAGAAGGCTATTGAACTTGAATATGTGGAAGTTAAGTAATTGTTTTACTTAAAACTCCTTCATAAGCTGAAAACTGTGTTCATTGTAGAGAGTTCACATCTGGCCCCATTCTTCCTCTAGAGAGGTTCCTGGTGCACGCTGCTTCCAGGACCCTCCAATCTGGAGAGCTACAGTCTTTGCCAGCAGGACCCAGGGGCTGGCACAGAATGTCTCATGCTGCCTGTGCTGAGTGTAACTCCAGACGTGTCTGGCATTGGTTTCCCCTGGACAGTCTTCTCCCTAAGGCCCCCTTCTCAGCGGTGACCTGGGTTCTTGGCAAGAAGTTGCTCACATGCTGCCAAAGCTTTCTCCTTGCCTACAAAGGACTAACTTGAGTTGGAACTGGGTGGTAAGAAACCTGGTACCAAGTTCCCCCACAGCAACATGAAGTCTTCGAAGCGACCGCAAGGCTCCGTGGTTCCCAATCCCTCCGTGGCCGATCCCTCCCGCCCTTGGCCGCCGCCGCCGCCGGCCGAGGCGTCCCGTGTTCTGCTTTTTGACACACCTGTGCTGTCACCGGGCCGAGAGGCCCACCTCCTCCCCAGTCACATCACTGAAGGTCGATGTTCTGGTATCGTTGCTAAATGGTTAGGTGACCGCCCGTCCCGTCAGGAAGGAACAAAGACAGCCAGTGGGGGGAGCACACAAATTAGAGGAAAACCTCTCCAAGCAAACTCTCTTCTCAAGAAACTGTACTCACTCAGCTGTAATGAGGTTTGTCTCTCAAACATATGCCTAGTCCAAAAGCTTGAGCTCATTTCAGGGCTAGAAATTGAACCGGGGGCTTCAGCTTCACAAAAACTTGGTGAAATCACTCACAGTAAGCGTGCAGAAAGGAAACAGTATCCTTTTACCAAAAGGGGGGCTGAAACAAAAGGTCTTTATTTTATGAGTCTGGGAGAGTTCGTTTTATTTCATTAAGAAGCCCTAGATTCTGTTTTCACTTCATGATACATGTTGATAGGTGTGCCTGGGGAGTCATTCTCCCAAAGGACGATACGCACTTTTCATACACTCCATAAATATGAAGTCATTACAATGGCCCCCTTGAGGGAGAGAGAGGATTCTGAATTGAGAGAACAGGTAATCAGATGCCGAAGAAGAAAGGTAGAAGGCAACAGGGCAGGTCGCCAGAAAGTGGTGGGAAACAAGATAGGGACCTGTTTACTAGAACGAAGGTATAGTCAAGGGCTTGGGCTTCAGAAACAAGGGGAACCCAGTTTCTGGTACAAAGCTATCTGTTCAGAGCTGAGCAAGCCTCAAGCTGATTTGGAGCTGAGCCACCCAGCCCCCTGCATGTGGGTTCTTAAATTCTTGAAGATCAGCAAGAGGACTGGTCTGGCTAATATGTCCTCTCCCTAGAAGGGTCTTCCCTCCCTTGGCTACCTGGTGAACTCGTGCATTCTTTAAGATTCGGCCCAGTTGTCCAAGGGGACATTTCGTGTCCTATGTCACTTAGTGCTATGGATTTCAGCTTGGCAGCCTGCTCCCTCTTGATTCATAAGCCCAGTTCAGTGCATCCCTCCTTCGGGCCCCATGGCATTGTGCGCACGTTACGTTTCATTGTGATTGTTATTGTAGGAAAGCATTCTATCACATGGGTTTGGAAAGGGAACTTTGAAGTCTGACCCGCCTTAGTTCGAATCATGGTTCCCCCACTTCCTGCCTGTACGGCTTAGAGAAGATGACTTAGGGACACCTCCATCTCTCCGTTTCCTCCTCTGTAAAATGGGTTCATAAGTCGCTACCTGTGGCGTCTGGTTGTACTGAAGATTAAGTGAAACGATTGTTGTGAGTGAAATGAGACAACACATGGAAGGCGCTTAGCGTCTGGTTTGCCATAAGCAGGAGCTCAGGAGGTCGTAGCTGGCACACTGCGGCTGCCCCTTTCAGGAAACCTGCCCCTGTTACCTCAGTTGACAGGGATAAAGTACCTGTAGCAGCAAAGAGCAGGCAACTGCCACCACCACCACCTAGTTGAACTGGAAGGTCCTTCAGAGTGCAGCCATTGAGTTAACTGGCCAGGCAAGAGCAGCGCTCCACCCCAGAGAGGCTCCTTATGTGGGATAAGCAGTGGCCCAACCGAGCACCCGGGACCCTCAGAGGGAGTGAGAGGGAGGGGGGCACTAAGCCGAAGCCACCAGTCGGAGGAAGAAGGGCAAGTCAGCCTAAGGAGCTGAGGGCAGAGAAGCAAGGGAGTGCGCTGAGCGACATAAAGCCAGGGGGCCCCTGAGGCTCGCTGCCGCTGCCGCTGGAAGGCTGGGATCTTAGCCTCAAAGTTGGAATCACTTCCCCTAGGCCACAAAGCAGGACATGCCAGAGAATGGGTTTTTATTAACAATTGTTAATATTTATTGTTTCCTATATATTACTTCCTTTAATCCTTTCAAGAGCCCTCCCCCCCCCAAACCGTGAGCTGAGTGCAATCATGACACCCATTTTAGAAGAGACACAAAGAAGCCCATGAACTTGCCCAAGGCCACACAGCTAATGAAGGCTGGAGGAGGGCGTCCCTGTCTTGATCTTTCTGATTCCAAAGCCTGTTTCCCCCCAGGCCCACATTCTCCTCCCTGTCTGAGTCCTTCACTTTCCTTTCTCACAAACCAGCCGTCTTCAGTCCTCATTAATCTCACTTATGAGATAAACCCTTGTAAGGAAAAATATAAAGGATTTATTCTCTTTCTGGAACTCCCCTTGATGATTCAACATTAGAGGTGAAATTTTTCAAATGCTTTTGCCATCTCCGTGATAAAATCATCCATGGTCCTTTTCAGTTTCATTTATTTATCCAACATTCTGTCCTTGTTGGAGGGAAGGGAGTGGAGAACAGATGCCCACCGCCTGTCATGATGGTGCAGAGCTAAGGTCAGGCTCCCCCAAGCCACTTTAGCCCTGGTTGATCTTAACTCTCACCAATCAGAGAGCAAGTTTCTCTTCCAGGAGCTGAGCTGTGAGCTGTCTTGGGGCATTAGGTCTCTTCATGCATTATTCATCAAGCAGGGCTCCAAACTTGAGAAAAACTTCTGTGCCTCTGGCTGGCCCGCTCACCCACCCAGAGCTTAGCATTTACTGGCCAGCCTCATCATTAGGAGGTTTTGAAAAAAGACACAATTGTGAAGGACTCCCCTCCCCTCCTTACAAGGGGCTGTCGGGGCTCTCCTTAGAGTGTGGACTAAAGCCCAGGAAAGGGGGTGGGGAGAGGCCTGGAATACTCTGATTTGCATGACAAAAAGTCCAAGGTTAAGTGCTACTGAGGGCCTGGCTTCCAGCCAAGAGAAAACCCTGGCCTGGAAGGATGACTGGGAAGGAGCAGGGTGTGATTGAAATTTGCCTGGTGGATGCAGGCAAGGTGGGCCGGGCCTGGGGCCCTCGCACCCTCACACCCACCTCAAGTCTGAAAACCGGAGCGGACGTGAGTGTTGTTGCATCATATAGTTCTTAACTCAGTCACCTTCTACTTTCTACTTCTGCTTTTGCCTGGGCTTTGTTTTGAAGCTGTCTGAGTTATTAGGAGCCCCCAGAACGCTTGTGTTCAAGAATGATCAACACAGATAAAGCCGGGTTTGCTGTTGGATACCATTTTGGATTCCTCTTGAATTCACTGTCCAAGACACAAAAACTTTATGTTCAGAGATTTTATCTGCATACATGTCTACATTCATATGCATTATATGTACATATATGTAGACATACATATGTATTACAGATTTCTTTTAAAAGGAAAAAAAGCACAACCGTTCTGTTTTGGGGGAAGCTAAATGAGGACATGACATCATGCTGAGAGAGGGAAAGAAATCTGAAGAAACCAACTTCTGTACTATTTTTCAGGTTTTACATTGAGAGCATATCATTTTTAAAGGATAAAACCACGGTGGAGCTGTTTTTCCTGAACGCAAAGTCCTGTGTGCACAAGGTAGGATGCCCCATTTGTTATATTCAGTGAATGACTCCAGATGGACTGGAGCAGGGGGGACAATGGTATTGCCTAGCTTTTCATGTTCAAACAAAGAAAAATGGCCATAATCTTTCCCACTGCCATAAAAAAATACAAATAAATTTAAATGAAAGGCAGCTCTTCTCAAATTCTGAGTGAGAAAGACAGCCATCTGCAGGGAACTCACGCTCACAGACAATTACCATGGCCTTAAAGGCAGCTCGTACTCCACACAGAATATTCCAGAAAGACACAAAGATGGATTAGTCAGATTGTGATTGAAACCTCAAAAAAAGTCATACTGGAAATCTTGTTTCATAGAGTATGTCCTACATCTCTCACAATTCAAAACCAATCTTATTTACGGGCCTCTGCTCAGAGCCACATGTTTTAAAGCAGTGTCTCAGTTATCTGTGGTGAGGGACAGGTTTTTCTGCTTTATTGTTTTTTATTTGTATCCAATCTTTGGAGGACACACTGCTTTTGTAACATACGGTAAACATGAATTGCTGGAGAAATGATCCCATGCCCGGATGTCAAATTGCTATAAGGCATTCTCAATTTTGATCTTATCTCCTTGCAGACTATCATTGCGTTCAAGGTCCTCTACTCTGGCCTCCTCAAACCACACCTTGGCCAAGGCAGGGAGTCTGCGAACCTAGATATGTTCATCTGGAACAAACTTCTCCATTCTAGGTTATAGTCTCAGTATTCAGGATCTCAGAGCCCATGCCTACTTCCAGGGCCAGTGGGAGCCCCTTCTGTCCAGATACATCACCCCAAATCTGAGGGGTGCCCAGCATTGCCTGGCCTAGAAAGATAAGGGGGGCAGACTATATATGGGTTAGGGAACTTACATTGGTACATTTCCCTTAGGCCCCCGAAATATTAAGGGTGGCTCACTGCACACACACACAGAATTAATTGACTCAGACCGGGCAGAGTTTTTGTTGGATTTTTTTAAACAGCTGTATTGAGAAACAATTGACTATACATGTTTAAAGTGTACAGTTTTGGGCGCCTGGGTAGCTCAGTTGGTTAAGCAACTGCCTTCAGCTCAGGTCATGATCCTGGAGTCCCGTGATCGAGTCCCGCATCGGGCTCCCTGCTCAGCGGGGAGTCTGCTTCTCCCTCTGACCCTCTTCCCTCTCATGCTCTCTATCTCTCATTCTCTCTCTCTCAAATAAATAAATAAAATCTTTAAAAAAATAAAGTGTACAGTTTTGTAAGTTTTAACATATATCGTAGCCATGAAATGATCACCAAAATCAAGATAGTGAATATACCCAGCAACTGCACATCTGCTTTTTCTCACAATGGAGCAGTTTCCATTTTCTAGAGTTGTATATAGGTAGAATCATATAGTGGATGATGTTTTTGTTTTCTTTCCTTTTTTAAAGATTTTATTTATTTATTAGAGAGAGAGAGCATGAGTTGGGGGGCGGGGAAAGGGGCAGAGGGAGAAGGAGAAGCAGACTCCCTGCTGAGCGGGGAGCTCAATCCCAGGACCCCAGGATTGTGACCTGAGCCAAAGGCAGATGCTTAACTAACTGAGCCACCCAGGCGCCCCATCTTTTTGTCTTCTTTCAATGAGCATAATTATTTTGAGATTCATCTGTGTTGTTGCATTTATCAGTAGCCCATTCCTTTTTATTGCCAAAGTACTCCATTGTATGGATGTACCTTAAATTACTTTTCAATTCCCCTGTGGGTTTTTCCCCATTTTTTTCGAGCTTTACTGAGATATAATTGAGATATAACACTCTGTAAATTTAAGGAGTACAAAAGGATGATTTGATACACGTATATGTTGCAAAATGATCCATTCACCTGTTGATGGACAGTTGGTTTGTACCAGTTTGGGGACTATTACAAATACAAATGCAATGAACATTCATGTACAAGTCATTGTATATACACATACTTTCTTTTTTCTTGAGTAAATACCTGGGAGCAGAATTGCTGGATCATATGGTAGATATGTTTAATTTTTTAAGGTACTGCCAAACTGTTTTCCAAAATGGTTTTCAAAAATCAGTTGTTCATATATGCATGAGTTTATTTCTGGACTCTGTATTTTGTTTCATTGATCTATTTGTCAACCTTTTTGCCAATAACATACTGTTTTGATTACTATAGCTTTAGAATATATGTCTTGAAATCAGAACAAACTCTAGCATTGTTCTTTTTCAACATTGTTTTATTCTGTTTTCTTGCATTTCCGTATAAATTTTAGAATCAACTTGTTAATTTAAAAAAAAAAACAAAATAAAACAAAACAGAAAAACACCTGATGAGATTTTCCTTAGGATTGCACTGAATCTATAGACCAATGTAGAAAGAATTGACAACCTAGCAGTATGGAGTCATCAGACCCAGGACACAAGGTATAATCTCCATTTATTTCAGTTATCTTTAATTTCTCTCAGCAGTATTTATAGTTTTCAGCACACAGGTCTTTTGTCAGATTTGTCCTTAAATCTTCCCTATTATTTGATACAATTGTGAATGGTATCTTTCTATTTCAATTTCTGAGAGTTCATTAATAGTATATAGAAATACAATTGATTTTTGTATATTGCTCTTGAATTCTGCAACCTTCCTAAACTCACTTATCATTTTTGGTAGCTTCTTTGTAGATTCTACCGGATTTTCTTTATAGATGTTTGTGGCATCTGCTAATAGTTTTAAATCTTCCTTTCTACCCTGCCTGCTTTTTTATTAGTTGTCAAATTTGTAGACATAGTTGTTCAAAATATTTCCTTATCGCCCTCTTAACATGTGGTCTAGAGTGCTGTTACCTCTTTTGATCCTGATATTAATAATTGGTGCCTTTCTCTTTTTTTTTCTAATTAGTCTGGCTAAAAGTTGATCTCTCTTGAGTTTCTCAAAGAACTAGCTTTTGGTTTCAGTTATTTTCTCTGTTGTCTTTCTGGTTTCTATTTCATTGACTTCTGCTATGATCTTTATTATCTTTACCTTTTACCTTTATTATTTACTTTCTTCCTTTTTCTTTGGACTTCATTTGTTCTTCTTATTCTAGTTCCTTAAGATAGAAACCGAGATCACTGTTTAAAGATATTCTTTTCTAATACAGGCATTTAGTATATAAAATTTCTCCCAAGTACTGATTTTGTAGTATCCCACAAATTCTCATATGTTGTGTTCTCATTTTTATTTACTTCAAAAGATTTCCAAATTCCTCTTTCTTATATCTTCAATGGCCTCTGGTTATTTAGAAGAGTGCAGTTTGGTTTCCAAATATTTGGGGGATGTTTTAGGACTCTCTCTGTTATTTATTTCTAATATAATCCCACTGTGGTCAGAGAACACACTTTGTAAGAATTAAATTCTTTTAAATTTATTGAGATTTGTTTTATGGCCCAGAATATGTTCCATCTTGGTAAATGATCCATGCACAATTGGGAAGAATGTGTATTCCGCTGTCCCTGTGTGGAATGTTCTGTGAATTTTATCACTGCTTTTGATTACGAGGTGTGTTGGTATAGCTTTCTTTATGGTTCTTATGATTGGTGTTTATTGAGCATTTTGGACTTGTGGGTTTATAGTTTTCATCAATTTTGGAAATAACCATTTTTTTAGGATTTTATTTATTTCTTAAAGAGAGAGAGAGCATGAATGGGAGAGAGAGAAGCAGACTCCCTGCTGAGCAGGGACCCTCACTGGATGGGGGGCTCGGTCCTAGGACCCTGAGATCATGACCTGAGCCAAAGTCAGACACTTAACTGACTGAGCTACCCAGGCGCCCCTATCTTAGCCATTTTTTCAATTTATTTCTAATTTAATCCCACTATAGTCAGAGAACACATTTTATATGAATTAAATCCTTTTTAATTTATTGAGACTTGTTTCATGACCCAGAATATGCCATAGTTTTAATTAGGTAGACTTGGTTGGTAGTATTGTTCAAGTCAACTGTATCTTGCTGATTGTTTATTTCTTGTATCAGGTATTGACAGAAGGGTACTGAAATCTCTAGCTATTACTATGGACATTTCTATTTCTTTTTGCAAGTTGACCTAATTAAAATATCGGTTTTGTTTCATGCATTTCAAAGCTCTGTTATTAGGGCATAAAGACTTAGAATTGCTGTCCTCTTGATTATCATTATAAAATGATCCTCTTTATCTTGGTAATATTCTTTTTCCTGACGTCTGCTTTGTTTGATATTAATATAATCACTTCAACTTTCTTCTATTAGTGTTATCATGGTAAATCTTTTCTCATCCTTTTAAACTATTTGTATCTGTATATTTGAAGTGCATTTTTTGTAGACAACATATAATTGCGTCTTGATTTTTTAATGCATTTGGCAATCTCTGTATTTTAACTGGTTATATATATATACTATCTACATTAGTGTGATTTTTGGCACGGTTAAGTTTAAATCTATCATCTTCCTATTTGTTTTCTGTTTGTCCCATCTGTTATTTTTTCCTTTCTCTCCCTTCTTTTGGATTTATTGTGCGTTGTATGATTCCATTTTACCTCTTTTGTTGGATTATCAGCTATAACTCTTTGTCTTGTTATTTCCATGGTTGCTTTAGGGTTTATAGTATACATCTTTTTTTTAAGATTTATTTATTTATTATTTTGGGGCATGCACGGGGGGGGCAGAAGCAGAGGGAAAGAGAGAACCTCAAGCTGACTCCCCACTGAGGGCAGAGCCTGACGCGGGGCTCAACTCCATGACCCTGAGATCATGACCTGAGCTGAAATCAAGAGTCTGAAGCTTAGGGGCGCCTGGGTGGCTCAGTCAGTTAAGCATCTGCCTTTGGCTCAGGTCATGATCCCAGGGTCCTGGGATCAAGTCCCACATTGGGCTCCTTGCTCAGTGGGGAGCCTGCTTCTCCCTCTACTGCTCCCCTGCTTGTGTGTGCACTCTCGCTTTCTCTCTCTCTCTCAAAAATGAATAAATAAAATCTAAAAAAAAAAGAAGAAAAGCCACCCAGTTGCCC